AAAACCCCCAAAACCCAACAAAAAAACCCCCGAAAACCCAACAAAAAACCCCAAAAACCCAACAGAAAACCCCAAAACCCAACAAAAAACCCCTAAAACCCATCAAAAACCCACCAAAACCCAACAAAAAACCCACCAAAACCATCAAAAAAACCCCAAAACCCAACAAAAAACCCCAAAAACTCCAAAAAAACCCCAAAACCCAACAAAAAAACCCCAAACCCATCAAAAACCCGAAAACCCAACAAAAAAACCCCCAAAACCCAACAAAAAAAACCTCCAAAACCCAACAAAACAGTGGCAGCTGAGAATTTAAATAATGCAGAATAATTGTTGAAATGAAAAGAGAGGGTTTGGATAGACAGAAGACAGATTACTGCACCTGAAAGCTGGCAAGACCATAGCAGTTAAACAGATTTCTACATTTATAAGAGAAATCAGTGACGCAGCATGTAAACCACAAAAAAGAAAAAAAAAACCCAACAAAAAACAAACCCAAAAAACCCCAAAAACCCAACAAAAAACCCCCAAAACCCAACAAAAAACCCCCCAAACCATCAAAAAACCCCCCAAACCATCAAAAAACCCCCAAACCCAACAAAAAACCCCCAAAACCATCAAAAAACCCATCTTGGGATGGTTTCTTCATCTTCTCCATCTTCTCACCACAGGTACAGCTCTCATGGTTGTGTCTGGAGCTCAGGTAGGAACTTCTCACCTTCAAATCTTCAAGTTATTTTGGGGTCTAAAAGAGGTTTCTGGTGAAGAGAGAAGATTCTCGTTGTGTTGAACTCTTGGGTCTTGGAGATCTTCACCCATCATGACTAGGAGGCAAGTTCCTCCTGGGTTTTGGTCATCTTGGTATCTCCAGCTCTTTTTTTTTTGGGTGGGAGGAGTTGAGATTTTAGGGATTGCTCATGGTGGAAACCTCAGATCTTTGTAGGAGATGGTGGGGAAGGTGGAAAGACACCTTTGGAGATGTTTGAGATGATGGAGGACAACCAAGTTCTCCATGTTGAGCCAAAAAAGTCCAATTTTGAAGCTAATTTTCACCGATTTGTCTGGTTTTTGGGGTGCCAGGTGAACCAGAGCTCAACCTTCTCCACGCTGATGCTCTACAGCGCCTGGTTGTCCTGTCCCATGGTCATGGCCAAGAGTGTGGTTTCATCCCTGATGTGAAACCACCACTTCCAGGGAACACATCCCAGCTGGTGTGGGAGTGTGTAGCTGGACACAGCTTCTCCTGGGGTGTCCCTGGGACAACTGGGGACTGTACCCCCACAACTGACCATCATGGTGAGGAACAAGGAGAAGGTTTAGGGTGTAGCTCCTCACCGGTGACCGGTCGCCGACGCTCACTCCGACAAGCAGGGTTGGCTGCTGAGTCCACCTCCAGGAAGGATGAAGCTCATCCAGAAGAAGCAGCTCGGTCACCCATGGGTGATGGTGACCAGCAAGAAGATCCAAGAGCTGGTAGTGATGATGGTGATGATGGCAACGTAGGTGAGCTCCTCTGTGTCCCCCTTCTCCATCCTCATTTCCCCGTTGGCTTCTTGATTCCCCTTCTCCCAGTCCCAGGGGTACATCCCATCTTCTGGCTGAGATCAGATGTTCTCCCAACCTTGTTGCCTCCTGAGATGGCAACATCATCATGGAAAACCAATCTTGGTTGGATAAAGAAGGAGAAGAATCTCCCACTGGGGTTGTTCTTACCACAAAACAAGCCCGTTATCTTCTCCATCTTGTCCTTCCTCTGGTAAAGAAAAGCTGGAGAACCTCAAGTTCATTAGAGGTGTTGAGCAGAAGACCTCACTGAGTCCTTGTAGATGAAGTTCTCAGGACTTCCCAAGATCCACAGGTCTTGAAGTTGAGCTTCTTCCAGCTTCTTACTCCACTTCTGGAGTAACTTGACCTTCATTGTTTTTGGTCAATGGGTTGGCACCATGAAGGTCCTTTCCAACACTTTGAAGGTTTCTCAATCCTGCTTCCAAATCTCCTCCCCATCCTCTTCCTCCTTCTCCTGCCTCTCCCAACGTCCCACCTCAACCAGCCCCACTTCAACTTACCACAACTCCTGTCATCTCCTTGCAGCTCCTCAAGTGTCAACAGAGACAGGGACCACGGCAAAAGATCACGAGAGGTGAGTGGTGGCATCCATGGGTCTTCTCCCAGTCTATAACTGGGATCTCTGGAGCTGAAGGTCAACTTTGGTTCCATCCATCTCATCCCTTGGAAGTTCTCCAATGAGCAACCAAGGTTTTAACAAAGACCTTCTGTGATGGAAACCCTTGTGGTGGAGCTGACTTTGATCGTTGTGTTCCTGCAGCCCATCCACCTTGGAGGAGAAAGCAGAGCAAGAGGTTGAGCCCCAAGAAGAAGAGGAAGAAGAGGAGGATGAAGACTTTGCCGAGGATGATGACCTCACGTACACCGATGATCTGCGTGATGAGAACTACCACCCATCTCTGGACAGGTGAGGAATGCTTAGAGCTGCTGGGGAGGAGGCGTCCTACCAATGTCCAACCAATGTCCAACCAATGTCCTACCACATCCAACTACATCCAACCAATGTCTTACCACGTCCAACCAATGTCTTACCACGTCCAACCAATGTCCTACCATGTCCAACCAATGTCCTACCAAGTCCAACCACATCCAGCCACTGTCCTACCATGTCCAACCACATCCAACCAATGTCCTACCACATCCAGCCACATCCAACCAATGTCCTACCACGTCCAACCAATGTTCTACCACGACCAACCGTGTCACACCACATCCAACCATCTAAACCATCCTACCACGTCCAGCCATGTCCAACCAATGTTCTACCACATCCAACCACGTCCAACTAATGTCCTACCATGTCCAACCAATGCCCAACCAATGTCCTTCCATGCCCAACCAATGTCCTACCACGTCCAACCATGTCCAACCAATGTCCTACCATGTCCAGCCATGTCCAACCAATGTTCTACCACATCCAGCCACGTCCAACCAATGTCCTACCATGCCCAACCAATGCCCAACCAATGTCCTACCACGTCCAACCACATCCAGCCATGTCAAGCCAATGTCCCACCACATCCAACCATCTAAACCATCTTGCCTATCCCATGTCCATCTTCTCCTCCAGCGACTCTGAGCCACAGCGACGACAAAACCAGACCAAAGCTCGTAAGAAACCCGTAAAGGAGGAGCAGCCCCAACATGAGTTGAACCTCCCCAGCTCCAGCCCATCGGAGGAGAAGACTGGACGAGTCAGGTGAGTCATGATGGCCACATTGATGTGGTGATGCTGGGGATGGGCATCAAGGTGACTTATCTTGGGACATCCATCTCTGAACATGCTGAGAAACCAGATGGAAACCATCCAACCCAACAATAAATGATGTTCAAAGCCCTGAGCTCCAGCCAGGTCAAGAGTTGTGTGTGTCCTCAAGGAGGTTTCATCTTTCTTCTCATGATGCCATCATGTCTTGGCTTTGTTGGGTGTTGGGAGCTTGTCACGTTCATCTCACTATGGTGGGAGCTTTATTTCATCCACCATCATCTTCTGGAGCTGATCTTGGGTGGTTGGAGAATCAAGGACATGCTGCTGGGGTAGGGATTGTACCTGGATGGGGATGAAGAACCTTTAAACCACCACCATGGTGGACGTTGAAGCTCTTCCTTCACATCTCTAAAGCTTCAGAGCATCCTGGAGATGTGCAGGAGGAAAAAAATCCATAGGTTCCATCTTCTGCAGAAGGATGGAGACTCAGATCTCCACCATCTATAGGTGGAGACTCATATCTCCACCATCTATAGGTCCCACCTCCTGCAGAAGGATGGAGACTCAGATCTCCACCATCTATAGGTCCCACCTCCTGCAGAAGGATGGATCTTTTTTGCTCCATCAACCAGAACAACTCTTTCATGTCCCAGTTCTACTGCCCAGCAGCTCAAAACCATGAGGAGATGCAAATCTTGAAGGCCACGGCCACCAACCTTCAACGTTGGTCAAGGAAACAACTTGATAACGACCATGATGATTTAATTTGTGACCTTCTTCTCGTTTGAGGTGGAACGTTGAGTTTACATCTCATTTTTCTTGACCACATGAGCTCAAAATTGACTTTTTGGGTCCTAAAAACCCTCAAATCATCACTCAAAATTATCTCCTGGGGTTTGACTTGAGTGTTGACCACGATGGTGAAACCAAAAAGGATGATCCACGTGTCACCTCTTGAGTTTGACCTACAAGAAGACATCGTTTTGGTGGATTTTCCACCATTTTTAAGAAGACCAAAAAGTTTTGGTGGCTTTTTTTTGGTTGGAATTAACTGATGTCACCTCCAAAAATCCATCTTGGTCTTGATACGTCCTCCAAGATCCACCTCAAAACTCACCTCCTCGTAAGTATCTCGTTACTTCGTTAAGTCTTTGGATTAATTAATTAATTAATCATTTTGGACGTGGTTTCGTGGCTTCTTTTTGGTCTTCAACATCTTCTCCTTGTTTCTTGGTAGATCTAAAATGACCTTGTAGCTCGTTGAGAAGAATGAAGACTCCAAAAAAAACCCCAAATCCAAAGGAAAACGTGATGGTAAATCTGATATTTCTTTGGTTCTTCTCATTCTTGGACACGTAGGATGGGGGGACACCAGGTTCTCCTGAAGGTGGAAAGATCTGGGGCAGGTTGAAGGATCCTCATTGAGGTCAAAAATTGAATTTCAATGATTTTTCACCTCTCTTGGTAATTTTTTGGGGGGGTCCAACGTGGTTTTTGTCCAAAATCTGGGTGTTCAGAGCTCCAGAAGTATCTTGAGATACATCTGAGGACCACTGGAGATCTACAGAGTGGTTGAGGAAAGGGGTTTGGGGGGGGTTTTGG